GTCTCTGGCTCACAGCCCCGCCTGGAATCTCAAAGCCCAGCAGATCCCTACCGCTCTTCCAACGGGGTCTCCCTGGATCTGCCACTTGCAGGGTTCCTGCTCAAAGAGCATTGGCCCGACTGTGCCTCAGATTACAGTTTAAGGTAACCCCGAGCTGAGAGCTCACTCCTCAGCTCTGTCTCTGTAGCCGGCTTCCCTGCTCTGATACCTGTGAGCCATGCCACACTCAAACACCCCTGATCCTTCTGTGACCCCATGGGACCAGAGACCATGCTGTCCCCGTGTGGGCTTCACTCTGGCTAGCCTCTGGAGCGATGTCCCTCAGTGGAGCAGACTTTTAAAGGTTCTGATTTTGTGATCCATTGCTCCACTGCTTGCTGGGAGCCAACCCCTCCCCACGCGGTCTATCTTCCTGTGGCTTTGGATTCACTTCTCCGCCCATCCTGCCTTCCCAAAAGTGGTCGACTTTCTGTTTCTAGAATTGCTGTTCTTCTTCTCTTCAATCTCCTGTTGGATTTGTAGGTGTTCACAATGGTTTGATAAACTATCTAGCTGATCTCCTGTGACCTGATGTCGTCTCAGCCTGCTACTCTTCCGCCATGTTGACTTCTCCCAGTTCTGTACGATTTTATGATTCTTTGTTCTAGTTCCGTGAAGAATGCTGGTGCTGTCTGGATAGAGATTGTATTAAATATGTAGTTCGCTTTGGGTAGCAGGGACATTTTAATGATATTTGTTTTTCCAATCCATGAGCATAGAATGTCTTTCCATTTCTTTGTGTCATCTTTAATTTCTTTCATCCATGTTTTACAGTTTTCAGAGTACAGGTCTTTTACCTCCTTGGTTAAGTTTATCCTTAAGTGTCCTATTACTTTCGATGCAATTGTGAATGGGATTGATTCCTTAATTTCTCCTTCTGCTACTTCATTATTTATGTATAGAAATACAAGATTTCAGTACATTGATTTTGTATCCTGTGACTTTACTGAACTTGTCTATCAGTTCTAGCAGTTTTTTGATGGAGTCTTTTGGGTTTTCTGTATAGAGTATCATGTCATCTGCAAATAGTGAGAGTTTGACTCCTTCCTTGCTGATTTGGATGCCTTTCATCACTTTCTGTTGTCTGACTGCTGTGGCTAGGACTTCCAGATGATGTTGAATTACAGTGGCGAGACAGGACATCCCTGTCTTCTTCCTCACTGTAGAGGAAAAGCTCTCAGTTCTTCCCCATTGAGGATGATGTTAACTGTGGGTTTCTCATATATGGCCTTTATTATATTGAGGTGTGTTCTCTCTAAACCTACTTTGTGGAAAAATTTATCATGAATGGATGTTGTACTTTGTCAGATGCTTTTTCTGCTTCTATCGATCACATAGTTCTTATCCTTTCTCTTATTGATGTGCTATCTCACACTGATTGATTTGCAAATAATGAACCATTCTTTATATTGAATAAATCCCACTTGATCGTGGTGAATGATTTTTTAATGTGTTGTTGGGTTCAGTTTGCTAGTACTTTTTTAAGAATTATTGCATCCATGTTCATCAGGGATATTGGCCTGTAGTTCTCTTTTTTAGTGGGGTCTATATCTGGTTTTGGTATCAGGGTAATACTGGCCTCTCGGAATGGGATTTGGAAGTTTTCTGCCCTTTTTTAATTTTTGAAATAATTTGGAAAGAATAGGTATTAACTCTTCTTTAAATCCCTGTAGAATTCACCTGTGTAGCCATCTGGACCTGGACTTTTGTTTGTTGGGAGATTTTTGTTACTGGTTCAATTTCTTTGCTGGTTATGGGTCTGTTCAAATTTTCTATTTCTTCCTGTTTCAGTTTTGGTAGGTTTGGTAGGTTTTTAAGAATTTATCCATTTCTTCTAGGTTGTTAATTTGTTGCCATATAGTTTTTCATAATATTCTCTTATAATTGTGGTTTTGTGTGGTTTGTTGTTATTTTTCCTCTCTCGTTTGTGCTTTTATTTTTTGGGTTCCTTTTTCTCTCTCTTTTTATGAGTCTGACTAGGGATTTATCAATTTTATTGATTTTTTTCCAAAGAACCAGCTCGTGGTTTCCTTGATCTGTTTCACTGTTTGGTTTGTTTCTGTATCATTTATTTTTGCCTGTGTCTGTATCATTGCCATTCTCCGCTGGCTTTAGGCTTCGTTTGTTGTTCCTTTTCTAGCTTTTTCAGGTGTAAGCTTAGGTCATATATTTGAGATATTTTTTGCTTCTTGAGGAGGCCTGCATAGCTATATGCTTCCCTCTTAGAACCACTTTTGCTGCATCCCAAAGGTTTTGGACCATAATGACTTCATTTTCATTTGTTTCTATGTATTTTTTAATTTCTTCTTTGATTTCCTAGTTTACCCATTCATTGCTTAGTAGAATGTTCTTTAACCTCCATGTATCTGTGGTCTTTCCAGACTTTTTCTCATGATTGACTTCATGTTTCATAATGTTGTGGTCAGAAAATACACATAGTGTGATATCGATCTTTTGGTACTTGTTGAGGACTGATTTGTGACCCAGTATGTGATCTTTTCTGGAGAATATCCCATGTGTACTCAAAAAGTATGTGCATTCTGCTGCTTTAGGATGAAATGTTCTAAATATATCTCTTAAGCCCATCTGCTCCCATGTGTCATTCAAGCCATTTGTTGTTCCTTGTTGATTTCTGCTTAGATGAGCTGTCCGTTGCTACCAGTGGGCTGCTAAAGTCCCCCTACTATTATTGGGTCATTATCAATGAGTTCCTTTATGTTTGTTTTTAATTATTGTATATGTTTAGCTGCTTCCAAGTTGGGGGTATAAATATATACAGTGTTGGGTCTTCTGATCTTCTGGTTGCATTGTCCCCTTTATTAAGATACAGCACCCTTCTTCATCTCGTGTTATAGTCTCTAGTTCAAAATCTAGTTTGTCCAATTTAAGTCTGGCTACCCTGGCTTTTTTTTTGATGTCCATTAGCGTGCTAGATGATTCTCCACCCCCTCACTTTCAATCTGGAGATGTCTTTAGGCCTAAAATGAGTCTCTTCTAGACAACATATAGATAGGTCTTGTTTGTGGGTTGTTTTTTTTTTAATCCATTCTGACACCCTACATTTTTCGGTTGGAGCATTTAGTCCATTTACATTCAGAGTGTATTATTGATTGATTATTGGTAAGTATGAATTTAGAACTATTGTATTACTTGTAAAGTTGTTGGATCTAGAGATTTTCTCTTTCTTCTCTTGTCTTTGTTGCCTTTGGTCCCTCCCACTCAGAGTCCCCTTTAATATTTCTTGCAGGACTGGTTTAGTGGTCATGAACTCCTTTAGTTTTTGTTTGCCTGGGAAATTTTTTTATCTCTCCTTCTATTCTGAATGACAGCCCTACTGGATAAAGTACTTTTGGCTGCATATTTTTCCCATTCAGCGTGTGAAATACATCATGCCACTTTTTTCCTGGCCTGCCAGGTTTCTTTGGATAGACCTGCTGCTAACATGATTTGTCTTCCCTTGTGATTTAGGGACTTCTTTTCTCTTGCTGCTCTCAGGATTCTTTCCTTCCTTATTTCTGCATTTTACATAAATAGAGTATGGTCTGTCCCACTAGTTGTGTGGTTTGTTCTCTCAGTCCTTAGGTTGATATCCTGGGTTTTCAAAATGATTTGATAATTATCTAGCTGTGTTCGAGGGATGAGGTAAGCATAAGGTCATCCCATTCCTTTGCCATCTTAACTCCTCCCCAAGTGATCTTGCCCCAGAGGTCTTTGAGAAGCACTTTTTTTCCCACTTATTTTCTCCCTCTTCTTCAGATAAGATTGTTTCTAACACTCTATCTTCAAGGTTACTGACTCCATACTCTATTCATTTCCATTAAGCTATGAAGCCCTTCTAGTGACATTGTTTAGTTCAGATATTATATTTTTCAGCTATAAACATCCAGTGGGTTTAAACATATTTTCTCTGTCTCTGCTAAGATTTCCTATTCTCTCAATAATTGCAAGCATTTTTCCTTTACATCATCGAGCATAGTTATGACCACTACTTTAAGGTCCTTGTCTAATAATTCCAACATCCAGCTCTTTTCTGGGTTGACCTCTGTTGACTGTCATGTCCCTTGAGAATGCATCACATGTTCCTGATTCCTCACATGTCTGGCAATTTTGGATTGTATTCTGGACATGTGAACATTCTGTTGAATAATGTTGAACTTGCTGACTGTGGATTCTGTCATAGACGTCCATGGCAGACTGTTTTGAAATGCATGTAACTTGGTTGGACTCTAACTGAAAACTGTCCCCTGTGTAGGTCTAGTTCAGTTCTTTTTGCCTTTAGCTACCCAGAGTCTTCTTATGCATACATGGTTCATGGTCAGTGGGAGTCCTGGGCACAGTTTACACATAACTGGAGCTCCCTTTCTCCCTTGTAGGATTTAATGTCTGCATTCCATCCCAGCTCTGTTTTCTGGTTCTTCAGGCCAGAAAGATGCCTGTTTCTGTCAGAGCCTCAGTCAATCCAGTCTCCCATGTTGGCATCCTGCCTTCAGGCCAAAGCCATGCAAATGGAGAGCTCACCCCCTGCCACTCCCTTCATCCATCTTTCAGCAGCCCTCCTCAGTGAGTCGGACCTTGTTTGCCACTCTACAGCATCTCAGGTTGTCTGGGAAGGACCAGCTCTGCCATCTCAGAGTCGCTTCATTCATTCTTCTCCTTCCCTTCCCCCCCCATCATCTTGCCTTCTCTTAATTTTCAAGTTTTCCCTTTTTTTGGGGGGGGGGTTCTTATTTGGAATCTTTCTGTCATTTCTCTTTGCTACCTTTTTCTTTCATCTCTCCATACCTTCATTCCTGGACCCAACTACATTCAGCCCATTAATGCCACCAGCAAAGCAGGGTCACTGGACCCTAAACCTGCCTCTCAATCCTGTCGGTGGTAGTCTTCCCCAGAGTGAGCTATCACAGTGGTCCTTCTGATGAATGCATCTGTGGCTATAACCAGTGACTGCTTCTCCTTGGCAGTGTGAGGTAGTGGGCTCCCTGAAGGCCTTGCACAAGCTGGTTGACAGCTCACAGCTGACCGCAGACCTTGATGGCTCCTTTCCCTACAGCCACAGTGCCTGGATCTGCTTCCGTAGGGTAAGGTCACAGCCACAGCACCTGCCAGTATCCTGGACTTCTCCTCATGCAAATGTTTTCACTCACACCTGAAACAGGTGGCCCTACCCCATGTGTTGTGCCCACCACGCTGCACTCACGGGCTGTGGAGAGCCACACTGTGGCGGGCTTGGAAGTCCCGCAAGGGGCAGGGAGGGTGCTGCCCCCAGTGCTTCTGTGGACGCTAACACTGTGTCTGTCCTCTCCTGCTGCTCCCACCACAATAGAAGCTGGAGCCTTTCACCACAAATTGCGAGGATGCCATTGTTTTCCTACAGAAATCAGTCCTCTCCCTGAATACCCCCCGGACCCTGAGCACAGCACAGGTTAGTTCTCCTGGATTTTATTTTATTTCACAAGCAGGGTGGGACCATCAAGGTTTAGCCAAATCTATTATCCAGAGCAGGGATTTTCAAGCCTTTTTAAACTTGTAAATTCCTTTCAATTTGCAAAGGACTTCCAAAAGACCACTTCTTCCCATCACAAAAAAAAAAAAAAAAAAAAAAAAAAAAAAAAAAAAAAAAA